GATGAGGATAAAGGAGGAGAGTGAAAGAGACAGCTTAAAACTATTAAAAAAGCTAAGATCATGGCATCCAGCCCCATTACTTCCTGGCAAATAGAAGGGGAAAAGTTGGAAGCAATGACAGATTTCCTCTTCTTGAGCTCTAAAATAACTGCGGATGGTGACTGCAGCCATGAAATCAGAAGACGATTGCTTCTTGTCAGGAAAGCTATGGCACACCTAGACAGTATGTTGAAAAGCAGAGACATTACTTTGCCAACGAAGGTCTGTGTAGTCAAGGGTATGGTCTTCCCAGTGGTCATGTATGGTTGTGAGAGCTGAACTATAAAAAAGACAGTGTCAAATAATTGATGCCTTTCAACTGTGATTCTGGAGAAGACTCCTGAAAGTCCCTTGGACAGCAAGGAGATCAAGCCTTGCTTGACAAGTTTGATAAGAGTGACAAGGAGATCAAAGATCAAACCTTGCTTGATAAGCTTGACAAGGAGAGCAAAGGTCAAACCTTGCTTGATAAGATTGACAAGGAGATCAAAGTCAATCTTAAGAGATATCAACCCTGAATACTTGTTGAAAGAGCTGAAGCTGAAGCTCCAGTATTTTAGTCATCTGATGCGCACATTGGAGAAGTCCCTGATGCTGGGAAAGATTGAAGGCAGGAGGAGACGGGGACGACAGAGGATGAGACGACGCACAGAGGATGAGGATGCACATGAGTCTGAGCAAGCTCCGGGAGTTGGTGACGGACAGGGAAGCCTGGCGTGCTGCAGTCCATGGGGACACACAGAGTGGGACACAGCTGAGCGACTGACCTGAGCTGATGTCATTCATGTATTAAAAAGCATTTTTATCCATGTTCTTGCGATTGATATTTATAGCGAGGAGTCAGTAAACTTTTTCCATAAAGGGTCAGGTAGTAGCAAATATTTTAAGCTTTTTAGACCATATGTTCTCTCCCTACTGTTCAACTCTGCCAGTAGGATGTGAAAGCTTACCTAGGCAGTGTGTCAGTGGATGAGCTTGACTGTGTTCCCATAAAACTTTATTTATGGACACTGGAATATGATTTTCATAAGTCATTAAATATTATTTTTCTTTTTTTTTCAACCATTTAAAAATGCAAAAATTTTTAGCTTACTGTTTACATGATGGTAGGTTAAGGGCCACATTGTCTGATAGGCTGTCATTTGCTGACCCCCTCTCGTAATGATCCTCTGAGACTCTGCTAACCGCCTTCTGTGTTTTTGCCCTTTATTTTACCATCTTTTAACATTATTTTACATGTTTCTTGTTTTGCTACTTAATCATGTGTTTTCTTTCATTGTTAATGTGTGTGTAACTTTTAAAATTTAATACATTTTATTACATTTTAAGCTATGGAGGATAGGCTCAGTAATGTCTTCCCTTTAATGCCTTGCACATTTTACAAAAATTATATGCTCAGTAAGGGCTTCCCTGATGGCTCAGTTGGTAAAGAATCCATCTGCCTGCAATGCAGGAGACCCCAGTTAGATTCCTGGGTAGGGAAGATCCACTGGAGAAGGGATAGGCTACCCACTCCAGTATTCTTGGGCTTCCCTTGTGGCTTAGCTGGTAAAGAATCTCCTGCAGTGTGGAAGACCTGGGTTCGATCCCTGAGTTGGGAAGATCCCCTGGAGAAGGGAAAGGTTACTCATGCCAGTATTCTGGTCTGGAGAATTACATGGAGTCCCAAAGAGTTGGACATGACAGAGCGGCTTTCACTTTCACTTTCACATGCTCAATAAGTATTTGAGAGAGTTGGAAAGGAGTAATGTCTGGCTTTCACTATTTGAAGGATTGTTGTGTAGATTGTTTTACTTATTCATTTGTATAGTAAAGATGTGTTCCAGAATGATTCTGTTGCATTATGAGTAGAAGTAATAGGAAGGTAAAATTCACCTCAGAATCAGGGAAGGGAAAGCAGAGAAGGAAGCTCTTATGGATTGAGTTTTTTTGTGATGACATATGTACTGTGGCCAGTGATACGGACAGTCCCTCCTTTAACCTTTACTTAACCTTTATTTTAAATAGGTATTTCGTTACTCAGTTTACAGATGAAAAAAACCAGGTAAAATACCTTAGCCTTAAATATGAGTGGTAGGATGGAATTTGAACCCAGACCATGTTTTTTCCGTATATTTGACTTATTTATAGTAAGAATATACAACAACTTATCAGGCAGCCTTAGACACTATTTACTTATTGCTACAAGTTTTCACAAACACATCTTAAATAACCAAGGACAGAGATTTTTTTCTTAGATAAGGTGAAATGTTGAAGAAACCTCCATGATAACCTTTTATTCTTTGAATATGTGATTACAGAGAGCTTTATTCTGAAATGATAGGCAAAACGCATGTTCTCTCTTACTTTTGTACATAACTTTTACCTCTTTAAAGAAGGGTGTTTAAAAGTGTTTCACAAATAAATTCATAGACTTCTACAATGAAATAAAATTGAGGAATGTACACGAAGTTTCTATCAAACTGTATGTTTAGTAGAAACCAATGATAAAATCAAATCTTAAAGCTGATTATTTTAGGTAATTTTCTTAAAGTTGAAGATTGAATCAAGCTAAATTAAATAAAGGTTAAAAGTATAAATGGAGAGAGAATACCCTGGTGGTCCAGTGGTTAGGCCCTCCTGCTTCCACTGCTGGGGGCCTGGGTTCAAACGTTGCTTAGGGAACTGAAGATTCTGCAAGCCTTATGGTGAGGCCAAAAAAAAGTGTCAATGAAGAAAGTTTCTGACAGTAATTAATTGTGGAGTTTCTTTTTTGACTCAGCAGACATTTTGAGTGTCTACACTGCTACCAGGAGCTCAGACTAGTGAGAGAAGTAGACAGAGATAGAGATACCAAGAGGACATACCTCCTGGGAAGGTGATATCGGAACTTCCCCCCTTTATTAACTTTAAAATGCTATCTAAAATCATTGAAAATATTAAAACAGTCTTGAAGTGTAAGCATAAAAAGTGTAAATCCTTTTTCTTACTTTCTGCTCTCTGATCCCCATTCTTCAGTTATAGTTAGCAGACTGGTAAATAGGCTTCCAGATTTTTTTCTTATGCGTATACCAGTAGGCCTCCCTGCAAAGAAATTGGACTCACGCTATATATAATTTTGTAAATTGCTTTTCCTCCCTTGTGATAATTTGTAATGTACATGTTTCCATGTCTCTAGGTACAGATCAATCTCATTTAAAAACCTGCTACCTCGGTGATGGGATGTGATCCCACCATTTGTTTACATTATTCCTTATTGCTGGGCATGTAGGTTTTCAACCTGTTTACAAAAAATAAATATCCTTGAACTGATACGCTTTATTTTGTGAATTGTTTAAATGATGAGTAACACAGAGGCAGTTGAAGAGATGAAGTTAATGCCAAGGGGAAATGTTTTCTAGGCTAAGGGAACAATGTGTCATTTGGAAAACTGCTGCAGAAAATGAACTTTTAGTTTAGGGGAGAAGCATTTCTCTTTCTATGCTGTGGAAGTATAGCGCCTTTTGTTTTCTTGAACGGTGTGCTAGGATATTTCATTTTATAGAATTGGCATTTCTTTCCTGAGTAATTTATAGTTACATAATTTCCTTATTTTGGAGATTGAAAACTTTTTCAATAAATGTTGCCAGGTAGAGAATTAGAAGGACTTCCCAGGTGGCTCAGTGGTGAAGAATTCGCCTACCAGTGCAGGAGACGTTAAGAGACATGGGTTCCATCCCTGGTCAGAAAGATCCCCCTGAGAAGGGGAATGGCAACCCTCCAGTATTCTTACTGGAGGAATCCTATGGACAGGAGCCTGGTGGGCTGCATACAGTCCATGGGGTTGCAAAGAGTGGGACATGGCTAACAACTGAGCATATATGCAGAAAAGTAGAACCACAAGCTGATAATAGTGGTCATTCAAGAGGCCACACAGAGGTTAAGTGGGTACTTTTGGGAGTAGAGCTTACATCTTACCTATTTTTCTCTTCTTAACACTAACTGAGAATTCTTGCCCAGAGTTCAGAATGGGTTTTTGGGTGGCTACTTCCCCACTGTTATCCATTTGAAGCAAATATTGGTAAATGAAAAAACAGATATTGTGAAGTTGCTAGTTAATCGAGTAGTTGTCTGAAAATTAAACTGATAGCTTAAAGTAGATGAATAACATTTTTTTACTCTTAAGTATTATTGTTGTTCAGTCACTCATTTGTGTCTCTTTGTGACCGTATGGACTGCAACACGCCAGACTTCCCTGTCCTTTCCTGTCTCCCAGAGTTTGCTCAAACTCATGTGCAGTTGAGTTGATGGTGCTGTACAACCATCTCATCCTCTGTCACCTTCTTCTTTTTGTCACCTTCTTAAGTATGCAAAATCTTAAGTATAAAGTCTTGCTATCCTTAAAAAGTTTTAGTTGCTGCTTTTCTTCACCCCTTAATTTCTAATTTTGGAAATGTTGCCCTATAACGCATATCAAGTACTATTTTACTGTTAGAATTTTGTCATTCCTAGGGGAAAAGAATCTGCTGATTTCTTTAAAAATACATTGGAAACAAAATGGTGTATTAAATACGGGTAATAAATATCTTTATGGACTATTTCTAAAAGTAAAAGCCTTTATTTTTGGTTGCCAAGGATGCTTTGTTGTTTGATTACATGTGCTTTGTTGAATAGAAATATGAGTTTTGTAAGGCTCAACTTTCAAAATTTCTTGCTTGTTTTTAAAAACCTAATGCTAAATAGTTCTAACTAGTGTTATTAATTTGAAGAGTATGAATACTTTGAGTAAATTAGCTTGTGTTCTCCTATTACATTAGACAATAATCTATCATCTGTTGTAACACATGATTATGAAATATTCATACTTTGTTCTAAGGGAATTGATACTTCACATGAAGTGTAGTTTTTAAGCATCCATACCTGTTTTTTCACTTGGAGTTAGACTTTTCAAGAGTAAAGTATACATTTAAACACATTAACTTATTTTTGTTTAATTTTTCTAGGGCTGCTTTGGAAGAAGTGGAAGGAGATGTGGCAGAATTGGAACTGAAACTTGATAAGGTAAATTTTACTTTAACTTTTTAAAACAGTAGTTCTTGTTTTGTATATTGATTTGTGCCTACAGTGCCAGATGGGTCGCGTGATTTCTTTTATATCCATGAAGGTAAATGCTAATATTATCCCGATTTTACACATACAGAAGTTGAGGCTAGAGATGTTAAGTAGTTGGTTGAAAATTTAATCTAACTGGCAGAGCAAGAATTTGAACCCTGTCTGACTAGTCATCTTTTATACTGTTGGAAGTTTGTTTCCTATTCCATCAAAAAGATTGCAGTATAACTTTTTGTTGCTGAATGGATAGCATACATAACCTAACCATTCTTGGTTGTATATTTGGGTTTGGTTGTGTTCAAACATAAAATTTTTAATACTCATTCCATTTTTTAAAGCTAATGCCAGAAATACTGACTATTTATTTAATAATTGATATTAAATTGTCATATTCTATGCAAGGGTAAATGTACATTGATTCCTATCTTCTGTGTTAATTATTGATAATCTCTCTTTTTTTTTGGCCTCTATCTCAGAAATGTTATCTGTTGTATAACAGAAATATAAGAACGAATAAGACATGGCTTCTGATTTTTAAGTAACCGTTGTTCATTGTTAAAATTTCTGGAGACTAAATGTGTTTATTTGAAATACCTTTTCTGAAGATAATTTTCTGTTTATTTACTTACTATTGTAAATGGAATTGTTTTGGAAAGCAGTGCTTATCAAATGTTACTGTGCATAGGAATATGTGGGGTTCTTGTGAAAATACAGATCCAGATTCAGTAAGTCTTGGTATCTGAGATTCTGTTTGTCTAGCCAGATTTTAGGTGACACAAATGCTGTTGAATACACTGTACTTTGAATAGCAGTGATGTAAGATACATTAATTAGACTGAAGATTTTCAAATGTTTTGAAATCATATGTATATATAATGTAAATAGTATAGAAAATATATAAAGCAGTAGCTGTTATATATGTCAGACAAAATAATTTCAGAAAATGTTTAGTAGTAAGTTATTTTTGTGCACTTTGATATATAGTATGTTTAGGAATTTTAAAATAGTCCTGTGAAGTAGGTGGGGCAAGTGGATTATTTCCATTTTCAGGATGACAGTAGCAAAGCCCAGAAAGTAAAGAGGAATTGGTTCAAATCACAGAGCTTGAGAAGGCAGAACTAGGCTTAGAATCCCATCTGTTTTATTTTTAGTTCAGGGCTCTTTTTGTGCACCACTGTACTCCTGAGTCTATGTTGGGGGCACATGCTACTTGAAAGTTTTCTGAGGAACCCTAGCAAACTTCCAGGCAAATGTTTTAAAAAATAATTGTTAGAATTTTTGGTAAAGATATTTTCAGAAACCTTATTTTTTATTTAAAATTATGTGTATGGGATCATTGTTATTGTTGTCATCATTATTATTATTTTACCCTGATGTATTGCATTTATTTTTAAGGACTCTATGAAACAAAGTTTTTAAACTCTTAAGGTAGATAGCAGAAGATGTAGCTTTGATTTTCTGGTAGATGTATGAGAGAATATATAGAAGGATAAAGTTTCTTTCTTTCTTTCTTTTTTTTTTTTTTTTAAAGAATCACAGAGTAGTACAATAAGGGTATCCATTTTGTCTGGGTAGATTTGCATCTAAATCAAATAAAACCTGTGTGTCAGGGGGGACCTCAGAATTTAAAGTATCTAAACAGACTCCTCTTACAGTATTTTGTTAATGATTTTGCTTTTATGAGCAGCTGTCTTTTGTTTTCACCCCTTTATATCATATGGTTGGGGTTGAGAGACTGGTAGAATCTTAAACCAAGAAGTCCAAATCTAAAGCAAGTTGTCAGAGTATTGCTATACAGTACTAAGAACTCTCAACCCTTTCTTGAGTCTGTACCAGGACTTTCCAGGTGGCTCAGTGGTAAAGAATCTACCTGCCAAGCAGGAGATGCTGGTTCAACCCTTGGGTTGGGAAGATCCCCTGGAGAAGGAAATGGAAACCTACTCCAGTATTCTTGCCTGGGAAATCCCATGAACAGAGGAACCTGGTGGGTTATAGTTCATGGAGTCACAAAAGAATCAGACACAACTGAGCGACTGAACAATATCAGCAGAGTTGGACCAATAAGGACATCATGGAAACTTCGACACATTTTAAAACATATTTCTCTACTTTAAGATCTTGATCCCTTATATAATGTCCCTTTCCCAAATTCTTAAGCTTTCATTGATCATTTTTACTCTGGAATTATGAGGAGGTACAATTAGAGAAGAGGCCTGTGAGGAGCAAGAGCTGGTTGTTATTGAAGGTGATGGCATTAATGGAGGGGAAGGATTATCTAAGGCTAGTTTAGTGATTTCATAACTTTGTGCAGGGCAAGTTGTACCTGTAATATCATTGCAAATCATGGTAGTGACAGGTTTAACTAGTTTGCTGACTTAGCTTATATTTGTTTTGCTTGTAAATATATGCCATCGGTAGTTACACTCTTTCTAATGAGTAATGCTCCATAAATGAATGGCATTATTTGACTAGGTCCAATTATTTATCCATTCTGCCTGGTATTCTGGCATTGGCAACATCACAGAGCATCATAGTTGCCATCTAGGTATAAATTCCATATCTGTTTAATCTTCTCATTGAAATGGCTTGCTCTTTTTTAAGTAGGTACCCTTTAAGATACAGCTCAAGTACTATCAAACAGTTTTTTTCCCCCAGATATTACATTATTTCTTGCATTTTTAAATTTCTTACATTTTAAAAATATATTTCCATTGAAATTATTATAATATTATTGTAATATTTGGTTTATAACATAGTCTAGTAGGAAAGAGCGCAAAGCCTAGAGCAACGCTGCCCATGTATGAGTCAGGCTTTACCACTCACTAAGCCATATGGGCCTTGGGCAAGTTCCTAAACCTTGCTATGTCTGAGTTTCTTGTCTCCAAAATGGGGAAGATAAGAGTATCTATCTCATAGGGTTATTATGTGAATAAGATGTGTTAATACATATTAAGTGCTTTGGCACATGGTAAGTTCTAAATGAATGTTAATGTTGGTGATGTCTCTTCAACAGACTTTGGTCTGTCTTGAAGACAGATTGTCTTTAACAGAGGAAAAATCCCCTCATATTACTGTTAGGTAAAAATCTTCCTTCTTTGTAGGTTATGTTATGTGATTTAGTTACAGCTATCTTCACTGTCATCTAATAAGGACTTTTGACAGCTGGCAAAGTATTTATCTATCTCCAAGTCAGTCCTTCTCCCGAATAACTGCAGTATATATTTGATTCAGCTATATGACACATTCATTTTCTCTCCAGCTCCTGTGATAGTGACCTTATTTTAATTCTGTTACCTGTTTCACCGGCCAGATGCTGTGCCTTGTTGCTCAAAGTTGTAATTTCTGAAACTGGAATAATCTTTGATACCTTACTTTCTGCTGGGAGTCTCTGGTCTTTGCAGTTCTCATCTTGGACTCCTCCTGCTTCTGTTTTTCAGGTTTATCTAGATCTCTAGTCTTTTAAGTCTGTCCACTTTAAGATCCCTTTTTTATTCAGGGTACTTTTTAAAAAATAATTTTTTAATTAAGGTTAAATTCACCTAATATAAAATCTACCATTTTAAAGTTTGCAACTCAGTGTTTTTTAGTATATTCACAGTGTGTACAACTATTGCTACTACTTAATTTCAGAACATTCCTCTTACCCTAATAAGAAACTCTATACACATTAGCAGTACTTCCAATTTCCCTCTCCCTGTATACTCTGGCAACCACTAATAAACATTCTGTCTCTATGGATTTGCCTATTCTTTTACATTTCATATAAATGGAATCATGCAATATTTGACCTTTTGTGGCTGGCTCCTTTCACTTAACATATGTTTTAAAAGTTCATCTGTATATGTTGTAACATCTTTAGTATTTCCTTTTTAGTGGCTGAATAATATGCCATTGTATGGATGTGCCATGTTTATCTTTTCATCCGTTGATTGACATTTGGGTTGTTTCCACTTTTTGGCTGTTACGTATAATATATCTGTGAACCCTTATAGTCTGCTTTTAACTTTCTATCATCATTTCTCTTCTGAAGACCTCCATTTCCCTTTCATAGCACCTATTCTGCAGAATTTTGACTGTCTAATCTTCTATATTCTCTATCTCATACCTGGGCTACAGAGTCCTTAAGGAAAAGTTACACACTTGTTTGGTGAAATGGATTGGTGGGATTCTTGATGCAAAGCAGTTTTTTCAAGACTCAGTCAGGTTATCTTACTATCTTTCAGTTCAGTTCAGTTCAGTTCAGTTCAGTCGCTCAGTTGTGTCCGACTCTTCGCGACCCCATGGACTGCAGCATGCCAGCCCTCCCTGTCCATCACCAACTCTCAGAGTTTACCCAAACTCCACTTGACTCCATTGAGTCGGTGATGCCATCCAACCATCTCATCCTCTGTCATCCCCTTCTCCTCCTGCCCCCAATCCCTCCCATCATCAGGGTCTTTTCAAATGAGTCAGCTCTTCACATCAGGTGGCCAAAATATTGGAGTTTCAGCTTCAACATCAGTCCTTTCAATGAATATTCAGGACTGATCTCCTTTAGGATGGATTGGTTGGATCTCCTTGCAGTCCAAGGGACTCTCAAAAGTCTTCTCCAACACCACAGTTCAAAAGCATCAATTCTTAGGTGCTCAGCTTTCTTTATAGTCCAACTCTCACATCCATACATGACTACTGGAAAAACGATAGCCTTGAGTAGATGGACCTTTGTTGGCAAAGTAATGTCTCTGCTTTTTAAATGCTGTCTAGGTTGGTCATCTTCCAAAGAGTAAGCATCTTTTAATTTCATGGCTGCAATCACCATCTGCAGTGATTTTGGAGCCCCCAAAATGAAGTCAGCCACTGTTTCCACTGTTTCCCCATCTATTTGCCATGAAGTGATGGGACTGGATGCCATGATGTTAGTTTTCTGAATGTTGAGCTTTAAGCCAACCTTTTCACTCTCCTCTTTCACTTTCATCAAGAGGCCCTTTAGTTCTTCTTCACTTTCTGCCATAAGTGTAGTGTCATCTGCATATCTGAGGTTATTGATATTTCTCCCAGCAATCTTGATTCCAGCTTGTGCTTTATCCAGCCCAGAGTTTCTCATGATGTATTCTTCATAGAAGTTAAATAAGCAGGGTGACAATATACAGCCTTGACGTACTCCTTTTCTATTTGGAACTAGTCTATTGTTCCATAACCAGTTCTAACTGTTGCTTCCTGACCTGCATGCAGGTTTCTCAAGAGGCAGGTCAGGTGGTCTGGTATTCCCGTCTCTTGAAGAATTTTCCACAGTTTGTGGTGATCCACACAGTCAAAGGCTTTGGCATAGTCAATACAGCAGAAATAGATGTTTCTTCTTGAAATCTTGTTGCTTTTTTGATGATCCAGCGGATGTTGGCAGTTTGATCTCTGGCCCCTCTGCCTTTTCTAAAACCAGCTTGAACATCTGGAAGTTCACGGTTTATGTATTGCTGAAGCCTGGCTTGGAGAATTTTGAGCATTACTTCACTGGCGTGTGAGATGAGTGCAATTGTGCGGTAGTTGGAGCATTCATATTTAGCAGCTCTTATATTCACTGTTCTCTCAAGATTTACCAGCTTATTCTTCATTCTTAGTAGAGGAACTTGTGTCTTCCTTTTGAGGGGAACACTTTTTATTTCTTGCTTTTAATCTAGAAACTTAACAGAATCTGTCCTTAATCCATTCCACATAAACACACACACAGAAACACACACACACACACGTTTGAGTGATAAAAGCACCCCTTTCCTATGCACTTCCAGACTTAACTTCTTTGAGAAATACTTTGCTTTAGCCATCTCTTCTCCCTGTCTACATCTCTAAATTGTCCTCTTTTCTAATGTAAAGCCATCATCCTCTGTTTGAAAGAGAGATGCCCTAAGCCATGCTTCTAAGATGTAGGGTGTCTTTATTGTTTCCCATTTCCTTTCGTATAAAATGTGAACACCTTTGCTTTGCTCGTCGTGTTTTTCCTGATCTGGCCCGTGTATACATTTTTGCACTGAACTAAGCTCCTTAGTGCCTCTGGTTTACCCTGCCTTGTAAGCTTCAGGGTTAGCTCTTGCTTTTCCTAAAATATGTCTTATTACTCTTATCTGATTGACTAATTCCTGTTGGTCTTCAGGGCTTTTCTCAAGTGTTTCCTTTTGCAGGAGTCCTTCTTTGAACCCCATAGTCCTGGTTAGATGTTCCTCCTTTGTTCTCTCTTGCGTAGTTTTGATGAGCATAGCAGTTGTGTTTGTGCTAAATAGAATTTACCTGCTTTTCTAATGGTTAGGATTTTGTTGTTCAGTTGCTCAGTCGTGTCCGACTCTTTGTGACCCCATTGACTGCAGTGCACCAGGCTTCACTGTCCTTCACCATTGCCCGGAGCTTGCTCAGACTCATGTTCATTGAGTCGGTGATGCCATCCAACCATCTCATCCTCTATCGTCCCCTTCTCCTTCTGCCCCCAATCCCTCCCATCATCAGGGTCTTTTCAAATGAGTCAGCTCTTCACATCAGGTGGCCAAAGTATTGGAGTTTCAGCTTCAGCATGAGTCCTTCCAGTGAATGTTCAGGGTTGGTTTCCTTTAGGATTGACTGGTTTGATCTCCTTGCAGTCCAAGGGACTTTAAAGTCTTCTCCAACACCACAGTTGAAAAGCATCAGCTCTTTGGCACTGAGCCTTCTTTATAGTCCAATTCTCACATCCATACATGACTACTGGAAAAGCCATAGCTTTGGACTATATGGACCTTTGTCAGCAAAGTAATGTCTCTACTTTTTAATACGCTGTCTAGGTTTGTCATAGCTTTTCTTCCAAGGAGCAAGCGCCTTTTAATTTCATGACTGCAGTCACCATCTGCAGCGATTTTGGAGCCCAAGAAGATAGTCTGTCATTGTTTCCATTGTTTCTCCATCTGTTTGCCATGAAGTGATGGGACTGGACGCCATGATCTTAGCTTTTTGAACGCTGAGTTTTAAGCCAGCCTTTTTACTCTCCTCTTTCACTTTCATCAAGAGGCTCTTTAATTCCTCTTTGCTTTCTGCCATAATGGTGGTATCATCTGCATATCTGAGGCTGTTGATATTTCTCCTGGCAATCTTGATTCCAGCTTGTGCTTCATCCAGCCTGGCATTTCCCATGGTTTACTCTGCATATAAGTTAAATAAGCAGGGTGACAATATACAGGCTTGAGGTACTCCTTTCCCAATTTAGAACCAGTCCATTGTTGCATGTCCCGTTCTCACTGTTGCTTCTTGACCTTCATACAGGTTTCTCACAAGGCAGGTAAGGTGGTCTGGTATTCCTGTCTCTTGAAGGATTTTCCAGTTTGTTGTGATCCACACAGTCAGAGGCCTTAGCATATTCAATAAAACAGAAGTAGATTTTTTTCTGGAATTCTCTTGCTTTTTTGATGATCCAACAGATGTTGGCAATTTGATCTCTGGTTCCTCTGCCTTTTCTAAATCCAGCTTGGACATCTGGAAGCTCTTGATTCACATACTGTTGGAGCCTAGTTTGGAGAATTAGAACAGAGAATTAGAACAGAATTAGTAGAACAGATTAGAACAGAGATTTTTTTTCACTTAACGTTGCTCCAGATTCCAGGGTAACAGTTTTAAATTATACTCCTGAGATCCTTGTGTTGTCTTCTAAAGTTTTCCTGAGCTGTTTATCCTCTTCTTGGTGACCCCATTTCCCATGCTGTCATTACCCTTCCTTCTTCTAGATCAGCTCCACTTTTATCTTTATTATGTTTAACTTTCACCCAAGATATTGTTTGCTTAAAGAAGATGTTTTGTGTGAAATAAAGAAAAAAGAAGGGCTAGAAAAAGAAAAGAAATGGAAAGGAAAAAGAAAGATTAAAAAGGGAAAGAGAAAAAGAGGGAGTGGGGAAAGAGAGAGAGAAGCTCAGTTCTAAGATTTAGTATAGTGCCTAGAATGGTCGGCATTGGAGAAATATGGTTGATTAATCAATTCTGCTTTGATAAGTCTGATACTGAAATGACCAGCATGACTTACCCACAATACCAGTTTACTTCCATTTCCTCCACCATACCACAGTTGTGTTTTTAAAATTCTTTTGTCAAACTGCTTGCTCTGCCTAAGTTTCCTTTTATTCCTTCCAAGAGATGCTTAATACATTTTTGTGGAGTTAAATTACAGGGTTGAATTTAACTTGATAAAATTAAAAATTAACTTGATTGGTGGTTGGTGTTATAAGACACCCTCTGCATCCTGAAAGGTCATCTTTTTTTTTTAGATACAGCTCTCTTATGATTTACTTTATAAGCCAAAGGGAAAAAAAAGAATACTTTTCATTTTGTTTCGATTTATTGATGAACTGTAATCTTAACTAGGCATACTCATGTTGTTATTGATAATACTTGTTCAATTAATTAAAAAAATATTTTCAGTTATACAATGTGTTTCTTTTTCAGCTTGTGAAACTGTGTATTGCAATGATTGATACTGGAAAAGCCTTTTGTGTTGCAAATAAACAGTTCATGAATGGGATTCGAGACCTGGCACAGTATTCTAGCAATGATGCTGTAGTTGAGGTTGGTATTATTAAACTTAGTTAAAATGATAAATGCACCATGTTATCAAATAACTATATCTATTTGCCTTATTAATAATAGTGGTAGTCCTTAAAATCAGAAGTGGAAAAGCTATCACCTCTTGGTGCTATCTTATATAATCCTGTGTTCTAGGACAGTTAGAAGGTAATGGTTGATCTATGTTGTAAATATCTGTTTAGCATACTTGCTGCTAGGTGAGCTGAAGCATCTAGAAGGGCACCTGAGCAGGTAGGGTAGGATCATGTTTATTAGTGCAAGCAGAGAACATTAACTTAAGACTAGTATCTAACTGTACATTTGTGGGGGCTGCATAGGAAAGTTCTGGTCAACTAGCTGTGTTAGCTTAGACCCCTTTCTATATTATGTGGTATTATAATGTTTCTTTTATGAGGAATAATAGCTAGTTAAAAGAATGGTGAAATTTGGTAATTATGTGATGCATAGATACCTAAATGGGCACAGTCTTGATACGCTCAGTTTTAACCTTTAAGTTTATATATGCCATTTTAATTAGTTAGTATAATAGTATTGATACGCAGTTTAATTCTTTGACTGTTCTTGAGTTTTATGTTACTACCTGTAGACTTCTATGCAGACCATGTCTGAGAAATAGTGAGATTGTCCTAGTGAGAAATATATGTTACTGTTTACACTGTAACTTGATCTTTCAGTTACAAATGCTGAAATTATGTTTTTCCAGTGTATATTAGTAGCTCTTAAATGACTTGGTTTTCTTTTGATTTCTTTCTCATAGACAAGTTTGACCAAATTTTCTGACAGTCTTCAAGAAATGATAAATTTTCACACAGTAAGTGTTAGTAAGTAGGGGTTATTATGGCCATGGTAATGCTTTATTACTTTTCTTTGGTGGCAGTATTTTATAGAATTACTTAAGTTGGAATTCACAGACTTTGATTTATTAGCAACTTTTTAGTTGGGTGGATCTAAAATGCGTGTGTGTGTGAGAGAGAAAAGATGGAACTATATATGTGTATTATTTCCCATCCTGTAATAGTGAACTTTAATTTCAATGAAGTGCACACTCATAAAAGTTAATTTTTTCTCTTTAAGTTGTGCCTTTGTAAATTTTTAAGCAGTTATTTCAAGAAGAAAGACATGTCATAATTCTAAATTTGGCTATTTCTTTTAATTACAAATATATCTCCTTTGTCTAATAAGTTGCTAATATTAAAGACTGTTGTGTTCTTTGAGCAATTTATGTGTGTGTTTAAGATATGAGGACAGATCTTTAAGAAGGAGGGATATATATTACTTTTGGAATGTGATGAAATGCCTTTATACATTTTGTAAAAGTTTACTGAAAATATGGTACTTTGTAAGCTATATATTTTTTATAATTTAAAAAAATCTAATATGTATGACTCATATAATTATTTATTCAGTGCTTCAAAATTTAACTGTCTGTAAGAGGGGAATATCAGTACTTACATTCTTTGTAAATTTTGCTACTTTCTGGTTTTTAGTTCATTTGATTTTCTTGGTTTTTTTTGGACAGCCTATTCAGGATGAATTGATCTGATAATATTTATTTTAATTGTGGTTCAAATTTTATTTATACCAAAATTAACCATGTAAAAGTATCTTCTTCAGTTTCTGCTGTCAGTTCTTTTGGTTATGTGTCTAGGTGTAGAATTGCTGGGTCATAAGTAATTCTGTGTTTATCATTTTGAGAAACCATCAAACTGATTTCCACAGAGGCTACAACATTTTACATTCCCATTTACATCCCTACTAGCAATGTATGAGTGTTCCAGTTTTTCACATCTTGGTCAACACTTATTATCTATCTGTCTTCCTTCTTTCCTTCCATTTTGTTATAGCCATTGTAGTAGGTGTGAAATGGTATTTCACTATGGCTTTGATTTGCATTTCTTGCTTGACTAATGTGGTTAAGCATCTTTTCATCTGTTTATTGACCATTTGTATATTTTCTTCTGCTATTGTTACCGTTGTTGTCTGCTTAAGTCCTTTGCCCATTTTAAAATTTATTTAAATTGAATTTTTAATATATTCTGGATATTAAACCCTTATCAGATGTATGATATGTAAATAATTTTTCCTATTCTATAAGTTTTTTTTTTACTTTCTTGATAAATGTACTTTGATGCATTAAAGTTTCAATTGTTTTATTGGAGTATAATGAGTTCACAACGTTATTTTAGTTTCAAGTGTATAGCAAAGTGATTCAGTTATACACACATACATATATTCTTTTTCAGATTTCTTTCTATTATAGGTTATTATAAGGTATTGAATATGGTTCCCTGTGTTATACAGTAGGTCCTTGTTATTTACCTATTTTATGTGTGTTAGTCACTCAGTTGTGTCCAACTCTTTGTGACCCCACCAGGCTCCTCTGTCCATGGAATTTTCCAGGCAAGAATATTGGAGTGGGTTGCCATTTCCTTCTCCAGTTTTATATGTAATAATGTATATATGTTAATATATATGCCCTCTGCTCCCCCCCCGGCCAGCTATCCCCTTTGGTAACCAAAAGTTTGTTTTCTGTGTCTGTGAGTTTGTCTAGGTTTTGTAAATAAGTTCATTTATATCAATTTTTTTAAGATTCCAGTATAAGTGATATCATATGATATTTGTCTTTCTTTGTCTTTCTTACTTCACTTGTTGCTACATTTCATTCTTGTTAGTGGCTGAGTAGTATTCTAGTATTATGAGTGGTTGTGTGTGTGTGTGTGTGTGTGTGTACCTACACACCATATCTTTATTCATTTCTCTGTTGATGGACATTTAGGTTATTTCCATGTCTTGGCTGTTGTAAACACTGCTATGAACATTGGGGTGCTTGTATCTTTTCAAATTAGAGTTTTCTGTGGATATGTGCTCAGGAAGGGGATTGCTGGCTCATATGGCAAATCTGTTTTTAGTTTTTTAAGGAACCGCTGTACTGTTTTCCATAGTAGCTGCAGCAGTTTACATTCCCACCAATAGTGTATGAGGCTTCCCTTCCCTCCACACTCTCCCAGCATTTATTGTTTTTGGATTTTTTTGATGATAGCCATTTTGACTGGTGTGAGGTGATACTGAGATATTGTGGTTTTGATTTGCATTCCTCTAATAATTAGTTGATGCTTTTGAACTGTGGTATTGGAGAAGACTGTTGAGAGTCTCTTGGACTGCAAGGAGATCCAACCAGTCCATCCTAAGAGAGATCAGTCCTGGGTGTTCATTGGAAGGACTGATGCTGAAGCTGAAACTCCAGTACTTTGGCCACCTCACGCGAAGACTTGACTCATTGGAAAAAGCCCTGATGCTGGGAGGGATTGGGAGCAGGAGGAGAAGGGGACGACAGAGGATGAGATGGTTGGATGGCATCACCAACTCGATGGACATGGGTCTGAGTAAACTCTGGGAGTTGGTGAAGGACAGGGAGGCCTGGCGTGATGCAATTCATGGGGTCTCGAAGAGTCGGACACGACTGAGCGACTGAACTGAATTGAATAATTAGTGATGTTGAAGATATTTTCATGTGCCTGTTGGCCATCTTTGGAGAAATGTCTGTTTAGGTCTTCTGCCCATTATTGATTGGGTTGTTTCTTTTTTTGATTCTTAGCTTTGTGAGCTCTTTGTATATTTTGTATATTACAACCTTGCCGGTTGTAATGTTTGCAAATATTTTCTTCCATTCTGTAGGTTGTCTTTTCATTTTGCCTCTGTGGGTGGGTTTATTCCCAGATATTTCATTCTTTTTGATGGGATAGTAAATGGGGTTGTTTCCTTAATTTCTCTTTCTGATATTTGGTTGTTAGTGTATAGAAATGCAATTAATTTCTGTACATTAATTTTGTATCTTTCAACTTTACTGAATTCATTCATGAGCTCTAGTAGTTTTCTGGTGCATCTTAAAGATTTCCTGTGTAGAGCATAGAAATGCCACGTGCAGACAGTGACTGTTTCACTTCTTCTTTTCCAGCTCAGATTCCTTTTATTTCCTTTTCTTTAATTGCTGTGTCTGGGACTTCCAAAACTATGCTGAATAAAAGTGGTGAGAATGGGCATCCTTTGTCTTCTTCGTTATCTTACAGAAAATGCTTTCATCTTTTCATCATTGAATATGATGTTAGCTGTGGACTTGTCATACATTGCCTTTATTATGTTGAGGTATGTTCCCTCTATGCCTATTTTTGGACTAGTTTTTATTATAAATGGATGTTGAATTTTATCAAAAGCTTAATATCCGCAAATCAATCAATGTAATACACCACATTAACAAATTGAAAGAGAAAAACCATATGATTATCTCAATAGATGCAGAAAAAGCCTTTGGCAAAATTCAACATCCATTTATGATTAAAACTCTCCAGAAAGCAGGAATAGAAGGAACATACCTCAACATAATAAAAGCTATATGTGACAAACCCACAGCAAGCATCACCCTCAATGGTGAAAAATTGAAAGCATTTCCCCTGAAATCAGGAACAAGACAAGGGTGCCCACTCTCACCACTACTATTCAACATAGTTTTGGAAGTTTTGGCCACAGCAATCAGAGCAGAAAAAGAAATAAAAGGAATCCAGATAGGAAAAGAAGAAGTGAAACTCTCACTGTTTGCAGATGACATGATCCTCTACATAGAAAATCCTAAAGACTCTACCAGAAAATTACTAGAGCTAATCAACGAATACAGTAAAGTTGCAGGATATAAAATTAACACACAAAAATCTCTTGCATTCCTATACACTAACAATGAGAAAACAGAAAGAGAAATTAAGGAAACAATACCATTCACCATTGCAACAAAAAGAATAAAATACTTAGGAGTATATCTACCTAAAGAAACAAAAGACCTATACATAGAAAACTATAAAACACTGATGAAAGAAATCAAAGAGGACACAAACAGTTGGAGAAATATACCGTGTTCATGGATTGGAAGAATCAATATTGTCAAAATGGCTATACTACCCAAAGCAATCTACAGATTCAATGCAATCCCTATCAAACTACCAACGGTATTTTTCACAGAACTAGAACGAATAATTTCACAATTTGTATGGAAATAGAAAAAACCTCGAATAGCCAAAGTAATCCTGAGAAAGAAGAATGGAACTGGAGGAATCAATCTGCCTGATCATATGGTTTTTATTCCTCAATTTGTTAATGTGATGTTATCACATTCATTAATTTGCAGATATTGAAAAGGCCTTATATCTTGGAATAAATCCCACTCGATCATAGTGTATCATCCTTTTGATGTATTGTTGGATTCAGTTTGGATTCATATTTTGTTGAGGATTTTTACATTGTGTTCATCAGTGATACTGGCCTATAATTTTGTTTTTTGATATCTTTTTCTGGTTTTGGTATCAGGGTGTTGGTGGCCTCATAGAATGAATCTGGGAGTGTTCCTTACCTTGCAGTTTCTTGGAATAGTTTCAGAAGGATAGGTATTAACTCTTCTCTAGATGTTTGGTGGAATTCACCTTAGAAAGCATCTTGTCCTTGGCTTTTATTTGTTGGGAGTTTTAAAATTACTGATTCAGTTTATGTACTGTAGTTGACCTGTTTGTATATTGTTTCCTCTTGGTTCAGTCTTGTGAGAGTGTACCTTTCTAAGAATTTGTCCATTTCTTCTAATTGTCTTTTTTAATTGGTGTATAGTTGCTTGTAGTATTCTCCCTATGATCTTCTGTATTTCTGTAGTGGTGGTTATAACTTCCCCATTTTCATTTCTGATTTTCTTTATTTGGTCCTCTCCTTTTTATTCTTGATGAGACTGTCTAAAGGTTGACATAGAAATGTTTGTAACAGTGACAGGTTTACTTTTTT